ACCTTTGGCTGTAAGGATCAATGAAAACTTTGGTTTTATATAAATTTTCTATTCTCTATGAAAGGACAGAAAACTAATATTTTTACACATATAGTTTCAAAAAGCACTAATATGAATAAAGCACAGATATGCCTAGACGTTAACTGGTTAATTCTGGGTGCTGGGTGGGGATAGAGTGACTGTGCTTTTCTTTGAACTCATTGGGGATTTTTTTTTGCTTTTAGTTAAAAGTAAATAAAAGTAACTGAAATGCTTCATGGTTCAGTGACAAGTCGGCTATATGCTGGTTAAAGATTAAATTTGAGAAGCAAGAAAATGTGCAAAGGTGGAAAAATCTGAATTTAGTTTTACCTATTTGATAAAAAACACTAATCAGGAAAATGCTCTACTTAAGGAAAAAAGACACTCTTTACATTTATGTGCTCCTACTTTACTTGGACTGGACAGGATACAAGTAGGAAAAAAGTCTCCTATTTTCAGTATTGTCTTGGCTTTCAACAGCAGTTGCCAGGGAAACACTTTTGTTTCTTGGTCACATGATCTGGTCATGCTTTTTGTCAGCGCTGGTTATAAGTTTGTAAACCAAGGCTCTTGGTAACCTTGGCAGTCAGTCAGCATACTGGCCTGAATAGAAAATGGGCCAAAGATCCAACTTGCAAAGTCTTTCCGGTGGGGAAGTGACTGTAAGATCCGTCCTGCATTAAAATAGAAAACATAGTTGGTCCGAAGGTTGTGGGTTATTGTTAAGCTGTTTAAAATAGAAAACATGCAGGGGCAGGTAGGCACCAACTCTCAGGGAAAGGAACTTATTTCATATTAAAATATCTTGACATTTCTACACTGTTGCTTCTAAAATCTTGTTATCCCATACGACGCTTTCCTCATAGCCTCTATTTTTATTATAAAACTACGGAAGAAGTGAAAGGATCGTATGATGAATACTCACGAAGCCTACCATATGGGTTTCTTTCTTTATTTTTGAAACAGGTCTCACTCTGTAGCCCTGGCTGGCCTAGAACTCTGTCGTCTCACTAGCCTCCATATATTTCAGAACAAACCTTTCTGTATCCATAAAATTCTTGGCATTTGATTGGAAGTGTGTTAAACCTGCATGTTAATTTCAGGAGAATTGATACTTTGTACTATGCTGGGTAACCACATCCCCAAGTAAACATGCCTTTCCCTCCCCTAGCAGCCATCAACTGCCAATAGCTCCTGAGCTAGGGATGGGGACTCAGGAGCCCTTTTCCCAGCCATGTTGACATTTGACTGGATCTGGGCAGTGGTGGTGCACACCTTTATCCCAGTACTTGGGAGACAGAGACAGGCGGATCTCTGCAAGTTCTAGGACAGCTAGGGCTACACAGAGGAACCCTGTCTCGAGGGAGGGAAAAAAAGAAAGAAAGAAAGACAAGACATTTGGCTGGATGATGGTGCACGCCTTTAATCCCAGCACTCGGGAGACAGAGCCAGGCGGATCTCTGTGAGTTTGTCCAACCTGGTCTACAGAGTGAGATCCAGGACAGGCTCCAAAGCTACACAGAGAAACCCTGTCTCAAAAACAACAACAACAACAACAACAAAAAAAGACATTTGGCTGGCTTGATCTTGTGGGGGCATCCACACACACTGTGTGTTCATGAGGGCCGTGGTTGTGTCCTGTCTGGAAGACAGCACTTCACAGTCCCCCTCCCTGTCCTCCAGCTCTTAGTCTTTTTTCCTCTGCTTCTGTGATGGTCACTAAGCCCTGCTGGGGTGGTGGTGGGCTTCTATGAATGTCCCATCTAGTAACTCACAGTCACCTGTTTTACTCTCAGCATTTTGACCAGGTGGGAGCTTCACCCTAACCGCTACCCACTGCGGAAAGGAGCTTCTCTGAGCAAGTTTATGAATTTCCTTCTGTAGTGCAGGCCTCAAATCCAACCATAAGCTGGTTAGTGAACCCATAACATTCATGACATTATTATACCAGTGGGCACATCTTGCCCGGCAGATGGTTATTATAGCCTGCAGGGTCCAGTGTTGGGTATGACCACAGATGTCTTTCTCCTCTAGCAGCCTGTATAGCACATTCCAGCACTATGAAAGCTGACCATCAGGGAGAGTTCTCGTTTGTTTGTTTGTTTGTTTGTTTGGTTTGGTTTTTGTTGTTTGAGACAGGGTTTCTCTGTAGCTTTGTGCCTTTCCTGGAACTTACTCTGTAGTCCAGGCTGGCCTTGAACTCACAGAGATCCACCTGCCTCTTCCTCCCAGAATACTGGGATCAAAGATGTGTGCCACCACTGCGCAGTGGGAGAGAATTCTCTAGTCAGTTCCAGATGTGTTTCTCTGTCATTCAGTGAAAATGTGTGATGTCTTCTGCAGTAGTTTTTGTTTGTTTGTTTTGTTTTTTGTTTTTTTCTCCAGAGAGAGAGAATGACAATATCTCACTGTGAGTCCTGGTAAGTCTGGAACTCACTATGTAGACCATGCTAGCCTTGAACTTATGGAAATATACCTATCTTTGCCTACAAACTACTGGGATTAAAGGCATGTACCACTATGCCCAGCTTGCAACATATTCTTTGAAATTTTCCATGTGTGTGTTTTGTCTGTAGACGTTTCTATGCATTACTTGTGTGCCTGGTGCTCATGGAGGCAAGGACAGGATGTCAGATCCTCTGAACTAGAGTTATAGATGGTTGTGAGCCACTATGTGGGTGCTGGGAGTTGAACCCAGATCCCCTAAAGAGCAGCCAGTGCTCTTAGTACTGAGCCATCTCTCCAGCTCTTTACTCTCTGTTTCTGGTGGGCAACCAAGAGGATTGGTAATAGTCTGTCTTGTTTGGGGAGCCTCTGGAGCCTCCCTGATCAATAACTTATAGGGTAGTATCCCATGCCTGGTACTGGAATTTTCATTTAATAGCCCATGTCTTTTGGGAACAGCATTGTCCATCCACGCATGGTGCCTCCATTCAACTCATTTTAAGTCATATTGTGTGGGTGTGGGGTATGTGGGTGTGTGCCATGTATGTACAAGTGCCCCAGGAAGCCAGAAGAGGGCATTGGATCCCCTGGAAGTGGAGTTACAAGCTGATGTAAGTTGCTAAAATGTGTGCTGGGTTCTGGACTTGGGTCTTGGGAACTGAACTCTGGTTCTCTGGAAGAGCAGCAAGTGTTCTTAAATACTGCCATTTCTCCAGCCCCTTAAGTCTTATTTTAAAATGACATAGTCAGCGGGTTTCCATGAGGCTTTTTTATAAACCCGTAGTTTTGGTTAACCCACCCCTACTCCTTTCCTTTCCCTCACACCCCTACCCCCAACCTACTTAAACCTTTAACTTCCAACATTTCCCCCTCTTCCTTCATAGCACCTGTTTCCTTCCACCTCTCCCTCAGTTAAAGCTCCTTGCCCTCCTTCTCTCACCCTTTCTGGCTAGGGGCTGGAGCAGTGCTCTCTTGCAGAGGACCCGAGTTCAGTTCCCAGCACCACCATTGAGTTGTTCACAACTATCTTTAACTCCAGGGGGATCCTATGCCTCTGACCTCTGTGGGCACCTGCATGCATACACACATAATTAACATTTCTTTCTTTTCCCGAGACAGGGTTTCTCTGTGTAGCTTTGCTCCTTTCCTGGAACTCACTCTGTAGCCCAGGCTGGCCTTAAACTCACAGAGATCTGCTTGCCCCTGCCTCCTGAGTGCTGGGATTAAAGGCATGTGCCACCACAGCCTGGCCATAATTAACATTTTTAAAAAGGAAAAGAAAACTCAAAGCTAGAACTGCATATAATAGAGAACATGCAGTATGTGTCTTTCTGGGCTTAGATTATCTCACTGTTATATTTTCCAGCTCCATCTGTTTTCCTGAAATTTTTATAATTTCATTTTTCTTTATAGCTGAATAAAATTCTGATGTGTATTTGTCTCACATTTTCATAATCCATCAGTTGATGGACATCTAAACTGATTGCATTTCCTAGCTATTTTGAATAGACAGCAATAAACATAGATGGGCAAGTATTTCTGTTGTAGGATGTGAAGTCCTTTGTGTATGTGCTCAGGAGTGTCATAGCTAGGCCATATGGTAGTTCTAATTCTAGCTTTTTGAGAAACCTCCACACATTGCTCCCCATAGTGTCTGTGCAGTTTATACCCTACCATACAGATATCCCTGCCAACTAGTAGATAGGGGGGCTGTTTCCCCACATGCTTGTCCGCACTTGTCATTTGTTTTCTTGATGACAGCCGTTATGACTGGGGTAAAATGGAATCTCAGAGTAGTTTTAGTTTGCATCCCTAATGATTAATGATATTGAACACTTAAAAATGTTAATTGGGTGTGGGGGGGTTAGACCTGGAGGTTGTGAAGGATCAGGCTTGACCATGACATTGGGTCCTCATCTTTGGGGTTACTGAGGGAGACAGGAATGCAGTAGTGTCCATAGAGATTGTATTGTTTAGGATACACATCTCCTTACACTTTGCCTGGGTGCAAGGAGTGTCCCTTCTGCCAAAGGAGTAATAGCTCTCTAGAAATCGAGTGTTTCTCCTGTGGTGAGACTCCGTAAGGGTGGTCATGTGGATGAATTGGAGCTTAGTTTATTGAGCCTTTTATATCAGTTTTTGTTTGTTGCTTTTGAGACAGACTGATAAAGACTAAAATTAGGCTGAGTCAACATGCAAACTTTTCTTTCAGAACCAGCAAAAGTCAAAAGACATTGGAAATTCTTGGAATCGTCTCCTGATTGATTGTGAATGGGGTCTTGGTGTCATCCTTCATTGAACCCAAGAGCCACTGACAGTCTAGTTCATTAATCAGACTAGTAGTACTGGTAGTCCAGATAGTCTAGACCACTTACACATAATCATCTTGTCCAGAAAATGGAAGCGAAGGGTATGATTCTGATGAAAGAGACTAGTGCCAATTTCCGTACCTACCAAAACCATTCCTGTTGCGTGTGCCTTTTAGGGACTTTCATACACTGCTTCACTCAGGAAACTGTGTTGTTCTGTTACAGCTGCAGCCGACTCCGCCAGGTTCAGAGCATCCTGACACAGAGCAGCAAGTCTCAACCTGATGGCATTCTCTGCATCCTAGGTGAGTGCTTTGATAAGGTGGGACTCCCCGGCAGCAGTGGTTTGTATTCTAATAATGCCATCATGTGAGGTACATCATAGGCTAGTGTCTTCCCAGTTTTCATCCCTGTGAAATTGGCTCCTTTTATATTAAGAGAGATTTCAGTGACCTAAGGAGCTCCTACCATTCCTGGAGCCCCTGCCCCTGCCATCCTGCCCAGTCTGTAGTCCTGGATGCCTCAGACAGTGAGAGGCAGAAGTAATGTCACTTAATGTCCTTTTGTCTCAGGTCAGACCTCTCTAGACTAACCTTAGTGAGGGTCATCTACAGGAACACATCACTACACTACACCTTACAGTGCAGTGCTAAGCATCGCTTCTGATGCTGTGAAGGGTTAGTGTTTATTTTTCCGCCTTCTTGTCCCCTTCTTTTTCAAACCACCTTAACTCGCTTTTGTTTGATCATACATTTTTCATAAAGATCTCTTTGAGATCTGTTCTTGGGCTAACTGAAAGTATTCCAAGATCTTTAGTAAATCAGTAGAAGACCATATTTTCTGCTTCTTTCCACTCTTAAGAATTGCTTTTTTGAGCCAGGCGGTGGTGGCGCATGCCTTTAATCCCAGCACTCGGGAGGCAGAGACAGGCAGATCTCTGTGAGTTCAAGGCTAGCCTGGGCTACCAAGTGAGTTCCAGGAAAGGCGCAAAGCTACACAGAGAAACCTTGTCTCGAAAAACCAAAAAAAAAAAAAAAGAATTGCTTTTTTTATGTAGCTGGAGGTGGCTCAGTAGTTAAGAGCACTTCATGTTCTTCCAAAGGACCCAGGTTCGATTCCCAGCACCTACATAGTGACTCACAACCATCTGTAGTTCCAATTTTAAGGGATCTCACGGATTCCAGAGGGTGCTCTTCTAGCCTCATTGGGTACTAGGAATACATAGTACACACATATACATGTGGGCCAAACACCCATACATGTAAACTAAAAACTGAAAGAAAAAAAATACTTTTCAGAAATCAACAGCCTTAGTAATCATTGCTTAATTTTACCCGTCTATGTAGATCTTGAGATCCAAGGAAGGTGCCTTATGCTTCAGCCTGTTTCTTTCATGAGGGGTTGTTTATTTAGTTCTAGCTGAAAACTTGTTTGAACTGCCTCTGGCCATCGGGGCTTTCCTAACTGGGTAAATCATTGGCGCTTACTGTGTTCTGTGGTGTAAGACAGCTAGTGACAGCCATCTTTGCCTTGCAGGGATTGACAGCAGGTACAATGAAGGCTGCAGAGAGCTGGCAAATTACCTTCTGTTTGGTTTATACAGTCAGAACACCACTGATTTTGAGAAAACGGGATTTTCTGAAGAAATTCTAGATGGTAAGTCTATATTATATTGGCAAATGGTAGAGGAGAGTGGTTTATGTCTTTGGATCCTTAATTCATGATCTTTTTAAATGATTGTTTTAATTTTAATGTGTTATATGTGTGTTTTGCTTGCATGTATGTATGTGCACCGTATGTGTGCTTGGTGTCCTCAGAGGCCAGCAGAGGACATTGGATCTCCTGGAACTAGAGTTACAGATGGTTGTGAGCCATCATTCAGGAGTTTGGAATAAAACCCAGGTCCTCTGGAAGAGTAGCAAGTACTTTTAACTGCTAAGCCATCTCTCCAGCCCCAATTTATGATCTTTTGTTTCTGTTTCTGTTTTTGTAGTTTTGTTTTTTTGTTTTTTTTTTTGTTTGTTTGTTTATTGAAGACAGAGTCTCATGTAGCTTTAAATGGCTTGAAACTCACTATATAGACCAGCCTGGCCTTGAACTCTGAGATCTATCTGCCTCTGCCTCCCTAGTGCTAGGATTAAAGACATACACCCAGCACCCCGTGGGAAAATGTGGTTGAATTTTAAATAGTCCAGTGCTCTAGTAAATCCTTGCCTTATTTTGTTTTACTGTTTGAATGATGTGTGGTGTCGTAATAGTTTTGAAATTGGCAACCCTCCGGCCTCAGCTTCCCATGTAGCTAGGATTAACAACTGATACGATTTTGTCTTTTTAATAGTGAAAAATTGCATTTTCCTAATTGACCTATTAAGTAATGTATTCTGTTGATCACACACTATATAACAGACTATCAACAAGCGGTTTCCAGAATACATTACTGGCTAAGTCATCTTTGAGACCAAGAGCAGACGTCAGCATTTGGCATTACCTCTTGGCAGTGCACTAGTTTTTCTTAGAGTTGCCCCTGCTTCTTTTCACTGAAGGGTCAGATTGTGTGCTGTCGCCAGTGAAAGCACTTTGAGCGTTGAGGCAAGGATGAGTTAGTTGCTCTTGTAAGCTGCTCTTGTGAGGAAGAAGATTGTATGTGGATCGTTAGCTGAGGAACAAGGGCCTATTGTCCAGCCGTCTTTGGGAATTGTTTTTGTGTGACTTTAATACAATGCGGGCTTTCTGCCTGCAGTTTGCCTTCTCTGGCTTGGAGACACTGTGTGTGTTGATGCTGCTGTGGGCTGTTGCCCAGGAGCCATCTCTGATATCATATACTCAGCATTATAAATTGTCTGCAGGATGAGTCAGGAGCTGTACAGCAAACAAGTAAAACTGGACAAGAGACAGGACACCTTTGCAAGGCAGCTGGGGAGGGCATGAAAGCAAGCATTTGATGTCAGATGACCTCACTTGAGCAGAGTGGTTCTCAGCTCCGGGCAGCTTTGTCCCTTGGGGGGACATTTAGCAATGTCTGAAGACATTTTTGGTGGCCATGGTTCGGTCCCTGGTACTACTGGCCTCTAGTGGATGCCAGGGATGCTGCTAAACATCTCAAAATGCATAAGAAATCCCCAATTACAAGATGAAGAATTATCTGACTGTCACTAGTTCTGAGTGGTAGAGTCTTTGAAAATTCTACCATGGTAAAGTCCCTAATACTGTTTATCCATATAGTTTAGTTAAAGCTGTCCTTCCTGTTCCGAGTACAGAAAAAGAAGACTAACATTACTCTTTCTCCCTCTTCCTGCCTCCCTTCATCTTTTGTCTGAGGTCTGCTCTCACTCTGTACTCAGCTGGCTTCAGGTCCCCAGCCTCCTGGGTGCTAGACGCGTGAGGCACCGCTGTCATCTCATCAGTTCTTTAAATTTTGATAGTAAAATAAAATTATCTTATGAAAAAATAATAAAATAAAATTACAACATTTTTCCTTCCCTTTCTTACCTCTAAACCAGTCGTTCTCAACCTGTGGGTCACGACCCTTTGGCAAACCTCTGTCTTCAAAAAATATTTATATTACTATTCATAACAGTAGCAAAATTACAGTTACGAAGTGGCAATGGAAATAATTGGGGTTCGTCACAACACAAGGAACTGTATTAAAGGTCTTAGCGTTAGGAAGGTTGAGAACCACTGCTCTAGACCCTCGTTTGTCCCTCCTCCTTCCTTCAGATTCATGCCCTCGTCTGACCTCTCTGCATGTACCAGGCACACAAGTGATACACAGACACACATGTAAGCAAAACACCCATACACATCAAATAAGATAAAAATCTCATGTATAAAATAAAATCTTTCCTTACATGTAGTCTTTTGGAAATAATTTGTTTTGGAAACTTGTGCTTGCTACACTGCACATTTCATTGCAACCATTGTTGCAGGGACATTGCAGTACTAAAATTAAGGAAAGGGCTTAATTACCAAAGAAGTGGGGTTTTTTGTTTTGTTTTTTCTTTTTCTTTCTTCCCCCTCCCCCCCTTTTTTTTTCTTTTGAGACAGGGTTTCTCTGTGTAGCTTTGGAGCCTGTCCTGGAACTTACTCTGTAGATCAGGCTGGCCTCTAACTCACAGAGATCCACCTGCCTCTGCCTCCTGAGTGCTGGGATTAAAGGTGTGCACCACCACTGCCTGGCTTAATAAAGCCATTTTGTACCCACATTGTTGGAAAGGTAAAATCAGCAGATCTGTGCTTCTTCTTCTTTTTTAATTTTTGAAGCAGAGCTTCACTATATAGTCCTGGCTGTCCTGGAACTTGTTATGTGGTCTCCACTGACATCAAACTCCGAGAGATCCAACTCAGAGATCTTCCTGTCTCTGTTTCCTAAGTGCTAGAATTAAAGGCCCAGGCCACCACAACTAGCATGCTTCTGTCTTTAACTTTGTGGAAAAGAAGACATTTTTGAAAACATTTTACATAATCCTACATTTATTATTATTATTTGACAGGTTCTCTTTATGTGGCTCTGACCATCCTGGAACAAGCTGTGTAGACTGTGTTGGCCTTGAACTCACAGAATTCTGTGATTAAAAGTTTGTGCCACCATATCTGGCCAACCCTATCAGCCTGTGTCCTTTCCTCCTCTTCCTTGTCCTCCTGCTTCTTCTCATTCTTCTGCTGCTGCCCATTGTTTTTGGTTTTGGTTTTGGTTTTTTGATACCAGCCACTCTATTTAAATTAGGGTGGCATCCTTGAGCTTGTCTGGGATCATAAGCGTGTGCCATAATGCCCAGTTTCCCAGCTTCATTCCTCCTCCTCCTCCTTCTTCTCCTCCTCCTTCTTTTGAGATAGAGTCTGGCCTTCCTGGAACTCACTTTGTATGTAGACCATGCTGGCCTTGAACTCACAGAGATCCTCCTACCTCTGCCTCCCCATTGCTTGGATGAAATGATTAAAGCCACCACACCTGGCCATATTTTCTTCTTTTATCTGACTGATCACTCTGTTGACTATCAGTCTATTGAGAGCATGAAATTTGTAATTAGATTTAGCAGTTGTTAGGATACATTTGTTTTTTGATCCTGAATCTGTAAGGTTACACTTCGAAGTATAGTATGTGTAGTGTATAGTGGATGCCCCCACTTTTTCAAGAGTTATAAAATTGCTCCCTTAGCAGGTAGTCTACAGTTGATTTAGGACAGGGCTCGGGGGCTGTGGGATGTGAGGGACCCCAGTGCTGAGACACGAGAGAGGGGGTTGTTTTTTCTCTTTGCACTTTTCTCACTTCCAGCAGTTCCTAGCGTGGTCTTGTTAGAGAGAGGTCCGTCTGGTGGGTGGCAGTGCCGTCGGAGTTAGAGAGAGGTCTGTCTGATGGCAGTGCCGTCGGAGTTAGAGAGAGGTCCGTCTGGTGGCACTGCCGTCGGAGGAGCTGGTGAATGAAGCCTGCTTTCTTGTGGAATTGTGGCTGCTTTCATTTCCCTGGCCCAGGCCACTTTAGGATTTCTGCCCCATTCCATTACCCTCTCTCATGGCTCTTGAATCTGCCTGGGTTTCTTTGCACCCTTGGGATTTCTTTATTTATTTGATCTACCAATGTTGATGGCTGTTGTAAGTCTGTAATCTGTTGGTTTGCTTCCAGAAGCTCAGTCACTTGCCTGTATTTCCTTCCCCCCAGCCTTTCCTGTGTAGAGTTCACTGCTATACACAGTAACCTTTCCTCAGACTGACAGGCTGCGTCCAGGCTCACAATTGCCCGGAGCCAAATGAACCTCTGGCCAGGGATTTAGACCCTGGTTTCAGTGTGGAGTCCCTGCCATTGGTCCTGTTTGGTGCTGTTTCTTGACTCAGTGGCCAGGTTATTTCCATTTGATACTTATCTCCTCATTGAAGCACATTGTCAAGCCAGGTGTGGTGATGCATATCTGTGATCTCAGCATTTAGGAGGCAGGAGGAAGGCTGTAAATTCAAGACCAGCCTGGTCTACACAGTGAATTAGCCAGGGTTATATAGTCTGAAAAAGAAGCCAGGCCTGGTGGCACAGTCCTGAAATCACTACTTCTTGGGAAGCTGAGGCAGGAGTATTGTTCAAGGCCTCCCTGGGCTAAGAATTGAGTTCAGGGCTAACTGAGGCAATTTAAGTGTATCAGAGTGCTTGCCTGGCATGTGTATAGCTCTAGATTCAACCTTCAGTAATGCAACCACTCTGTCCTCAGTTAATCAGTAAAATAAGTAACATAGCCAAGATCGGCACCACAGCTCTGACTCTGTTTAGCTTTGCAGTAAGTACACTGTTTCAGGAAATGAAACAGCCTGAACTTTTGCCTGTTTGGGGCTTACCCTGTCATATCTAGGAGGCCGTCCTAGGAAGAGCGCTTCAGCGGCACTAGCAAACCTGTGCTGTCCACACCTGACTATTGCTTGGTTAAATAATTACACATTTAGACTTTTACATAGTTACATGGTTTCTGAAATAGCTATATGTTTTGGCTTGGGGGTTTTATTCCTTTGTTTGTTATACTAGAAATGAACCCAGGGCCTGGTCATGCAACCCTGAATTGCTGTACTACAATCCTGGCGTTGGTGGAGGTACTATTTCTGGGCAGAAACTGTCTGAGGGAAAGCCTTTGACAATTTTGTGTTTTGCTTTTTTTCCCCCTGCAGATGTGATTATATTGATTAAATCGGATAGTGTCCATCTGTACTGTAACCCTGTCAACTATCGATACCTTTTGCCTTATGTGGCACATTGGAGAAACCTGCATTTCCACTGCATGACGGAAAATGAGGTGAGGAGGAAAGACGGGCGAAGTGCTTCATTCAGGAAAGTGCCGATTTGGAACAGAAGCTCGAAACATTACAGGTCCAGGGTCTGAGTGTGCTCACACAGAAGCGAATATCAAGTAGAAAGCTGTACGCCATGAGGCTTTTAGTTGTTTTACCTGGCAGAGACAGAAGCTGTCACACTGGACTTCTGTGACCACCCTGGGATTGCCCCGTGCAGGCTTTTCCAACTTCCAGCCCCAGGGCTGCAGCAAGCAAGAGTAGCTGCAGGTCACTCAACCCAGAGTTGTGGCTTATTTAAGTAGTTACGGGGTCTTACTTTATTTTATTTGTTTATTTTGTTTGAGACAGAGTCTCACTGTGTAGCCCTGACTGGCCTGGAACTCAGAGGTGTGCTGGCCCCCTGCCTCCCAAGTGCTGGGATTAAAGGCATGCTCTACCAGCCCAGCAGATTATATTCAATGTAACTTGATTATGCAATTTCTGAGTGAGTCTAAACTTTATAGATGACAAGGTTGGATAACAGTGTCAAAAGACTAGACATGCCTGCAAAGCTTAGGACTTTCTTAAGCTTTGTGACATTTATGTCTGGATTTCTTGGTGTCTATTTTTATTTACCTTTGGGTCCTTTTGAAGATTATGACTAGAAAGAAAATTGGGATTTTTCTGCCTATAATGTTATGGCAGTTTCCACCCAGCATTGATTAAGAACTTTTGGCCAAGCGGTGGTGGTGGTGGTGGTGGTGGTGGTGGTGGTGGTGGTGGTGGTGGTGGTGGTGGTGGTGCACACCTTTAATCCCAGCATGCAAGAGGCAGAGGCAGGCAGATCTCTGTTAGTTCGAAGCCAGCCTGGGCTACAGAGTGAGTTCCAGGAAAGGCTCCAAAGCTACACAGAGAAACCCTGTCTCGAAAAACCAAAGGGGGGCAAAAAAACAAAAAGGAAAAAACAAAACAAAAACAAAAACAAAAAAAAAAACCCACATCTTTGGTAATTAAGCACTTTCCTTAATTTTAGTACTGAAATGTCCTTTAGTACTAAAAAAAAAAAAAAAAAAGAAAAAACTTTCCTTTCCATGTGATTGTTGGGGACACTTGGAGGGACAGGTTTATCTCTTCCATTTAGGTCTCAGTCAATCCATTTTGAGTTGATTTTTGTTTATGAGACGAAGAAATGGAGACTACTTTTGACCCTAAATAGGATAGATTGGCTTTAGAAACCCGCCTTCCCTAGTTGCCATTTAAGACAGCCCCTGAGAACGTACAGCGATAATGTGGAACTTTGAATGATGTAGCTCATCAAAGCTCCTCTTCCTTTTAATTTCCCTTTTTAGTATGAAGATGAGGAGGCAGCAGAAGAATTTAAGATTTCCAGCTTTGTGGACATGGTTCGAGACTGCAGTAGAATTGGTATTCCTTACAGCTCTCAAGGTGAGTATCTGACACAAGCCATTTAAGAAACTTGCCTGGATGGCATGTGGGTTGATGCTCCTACCTCTTTCATGGTAGATAGTTGGAAAACCACTTAACCCATTTTCACTAAGGCAAAGGATCAACCAGAATGAAATGTAGGGACACTCCTTTACAAACTTCTGTTCATAACCATGAAGTTACCACAGTAATATACCAAGCTACCTGTGGTCAAGGAGAACTGATAAGGGAATTAGCACAATTAACATCTAGTCAGTATCATTTATTACTTAAGAGTATAGGTATGCATCTTCATAATAGGAAATTGTAATTTGAATAGGTATTTAAAAAGTTGGCTTATGAGGCTACAAAAATGGCTAAGGGCATGTCCTGGTCTTTCAGAGGACCTGAGTTTGGTTCTCAGCAGCCATATCAGGCAGCTCACAGCTACTTGGAACTCCAGTTCCAGGGTATCTGACTCCATGGGTACCCACACACATACATAACACATAATTAAAATAAAATAAATCGCTGGGCGGTGATGGCACACACCTTTAATCCCAGCACTCGGGAGGCAGAGCGTGTATAGCTCTAGATTCAACCTTCAGTAATGCAA